AAAAAAATGTGGCAAGTCCATGCATTTCGTCAAACTTTGTAATTTTCAATATTGCAAACATGACCTCACATTTACGGTGTTATTGTGGTAGGGATGCATCAAATCTAAAATCAAACTACAGGGTCTTAAAGTAGAGATCTCAAGCTTTAATTTAAAAAAAAAGAGCATAACTTTGCGATGATTTTTCACGGAGTTATCATCAGTCGAATTTGGCCAATTTTTGCCTAAAATTTTTCTATGCCATATTTCTTTTGAGCAGTGTATATAATTCAAACACGAATGTGAATCTATTTAGGATTACTTAATAAATGTAATGAAAAAAGAAGGTATGCAAATTCCAAGCAGAAAGTACTTTTTTAAATAAATGTATGAATATATTTAAAGGTTGCAATTTTTTTTTTTTAACTACAGTGCGCCTTATCGAAAAATCTGAAAAAATTAGGGAATATTTGTCATGCCGATATGTTATTACCACAATAATATGAAAGCAAAGTTCCGACATATTCAATAAAAAATCATGATTTTTCCGATTTTGTTGCAGTTTTTTATTTTTTACAACTATAGTTTACGATAAAAAATTTTGAAAAAATTCTATAATATGCGCTGTATGGGCTTTAATGTTTCAGAATTTTTGTATAAAATTAGGTAGGAAATATGTGCCAAAAACCGGAATTTCGATTTTTCCCGTGTATTAACCTCACGGATAAGATAGGAAACTGAAACTTGGAGTGAGGTGTTTTCTTTGGATATGCTATCGACTGGCGTATGGACTTTCTATTGTTGAACAGCAGGATTTATCAAGAGAATTTGCAAATTTTCATTTTGACATATATATCAATTTTATTCAGTTATTTTGATGTTATTATGAAATAATAATCCAATATGTTTTTATGAGATATTGGGTATGTGTAGAATTTATTTTCACGATATGTTGTAGGTAAATTTTCAGAATTATCGTTCATCAAAATCTGTTTTAATACTATATTGCGAAAGAGGATGGTGCTCCGTTTTTGGAGGGAGTAAAGGTTTCTGATCATAGTTATTATTATTTTATTCCATTCCATCAACAATACTTTTCTCGACCGTTTATTCGTAATATTATGTTTTATGTTATATCTTTATCGTTTAGCCTCTTCACTCACACTGGCGCCAAAATGGGCGACTGTATTAGCAAATGAATAACGATCTTGTTAATTCACGACATCTAATGACATATCGTGATATTCCAACATTTTCCACTCTTTTTTTAAAATTATTTTATGGGATAAGGACGCGTACAGGGAAAATAATAACTCTATTTTTGTCCTTGAACTTTCGAACTTTACTAACAAAGATGGTCTTCGATCATTCGCTTCGGCTAACAGTGATGAACTGATTCTCGCACGAAAAACTCTCATCCCCACGCACCCCGACACACATTCTAACCCGGAATCATTCTCTCTTCTTCCAAATTGAATCGCTTTCACTCTAAACCAATCAACGATACACACATTCTCAG